ACCCGGTGGTTTTATGAATGAGATAATTTATCATCCCACTTATATTCCAGTCTCATTGACGTGAATCATATTTACTATTAAATATTCCAATCAGACGCATTCAATCATAAATGATTCATATACAACTAAACATCAGAAGTGCACAAAACTTTAGGAAATGTTTCCTTAACCACCAATCCAATCCAGCTCTTATACAATTCCTAAATAACAAAACAATATGTATCCAAATAAGCTTCAAATTCACATATTTAATCACTTTAAGCTCGTTGAACAAACATCTCGTGGTTTTCTTTAAGCTGCTAATTTTAATTCGCTAAAACTCAAGATTTATCAATAAATAAATAAATGAACAGATCACACATTAAAGAATACAGATCGGTTCGAACGAACACAAAATTTCACCTCAAAATTCAGAACTTAGATTGCCACGTAAGAGACTGACAGTATACAAAATTCTGTAAATAATTTACCTCCTCGGAGTGAGAGACAGAGCGGCGGGTGAAGGATTGAGAGCTGCAAAGGCGGCTGAGGTTATGACCATGAAAAGTAGAAAATGAAAACGCTGATGAGATTCATACAAGTCTAGATTTGTCCTCAATTCTAAGCACATACCGCGTGAATTGAATATGCGTGCGTGTTCGTTTTTGGCGTATTTTCCCTTGGCAATTTTCCTTGAAGAGTCAGCCAGCTTATAATAAATGATATTTTTTCATCACCTTGATTATTTTTCGGTATACTGGTCATACTTGGGGAATGTTTGGACCAGATTTTAATCTAAGTCAAAATCAAACAATCAATATCAACCATATTTTTTATGGATTCCACATCTTTTCAACCACACATTTCAAAAACTTATATCACAATCCACTTAAAATTTAATTTTAATCTACACCAAACACCCTTTTGAACTGCGTTATTGTAAAATGTTTTATAAGTATTGTTTCATTTATCCTTTTGATCTAAATATGAGATAAATGCAAGTTACTGAAAATAAATATTAATCATTATACATGTATGTAAATAGTGGAATGCATATTTGAATGTGAGTACTAGAATTACAACTAAATGTATTATGTATAAATGAAGATGAATGGTAAATACGATAGATGAATTAACGTGAATGTTAATTAATTTAGAATTAATACAAAGGAATATATACATGACAATGAATGTTAAATCATTTATACAATGAATATAATTTAATTTTCAATTAAGTGAAACTGGATGTTAATTAACATACATAACCGTAAATAATGAACAGTATTTTTTAATGTGACATTATAAATAATATTAATTAAATGAATATGAATGTTAATTAATTGATAATTAATAACTGGGACGGTGACATGGACGTGAACGTGAATATGAAGTTCTAATTAATATTAATTAAATAAATGTTAATGTTAATTAATTAAGAATTAATAAAAAGGAATAACAAGAATTTTATTAATATTTATTACAGTTTGTAAATTAAATATATATTAAAAAAACGAAAAGTAAGGTAATGTTGAAATAATTGAATTGTAATAGAGTTATAATCGTCCAAAGAACAACTGTCAAAATTTATAATTACTTATATGTAATAAGTTCTAAATTTGATCAACTTAGAGCATCTTCAATTACAGTTGAACCTAAATTTAAATTATGCTTCAATGGAAAGATGAGTGCAAATGATTTGGTCCTTTTTTGTTCGTCTCATTATTAGATTTAGAAAAGGATGTAATTTTATATAAGTTTTTATTTTTTTTTTTTGCTTTTTTACATTTTTTATTGAAAAATACACTTCCCATTTCATTTGCATCTTTCCAATGGAGATGAGTTCAATTTCAAGGCCCTTTTCGTGCCGATTCTCCATCCTTGGTTCATTTGTACGAAGCTTCGAAAAGGCCATATGGATTGGTCTCGCGAAGTCACAGTGTAGCTTTGTAGTGGACTATGGTTTCAGTTTAACTCACGCTGCTCCGGTTTTTCAGAACTTTACACTGAATTATGGGGTGAAGGGAATGGATCTTGGGGGGATACTCACAAATTATCTCGAGGAATTAGTGAGTTATAGGATGAGAGTTTCATTATGGATGATGTTAAAGAGAAGCATTGCTTTGTTTCTCTTTATGTCCCCAGGGACCTCCAGATTGTTTCTTTATGTTTATCCTTATTAATTCCTATTTTGTATTTTGGTTTTGTGAGGTTTGGTTGGTTGGTTGGTTAATTGAACTTGTCTGGTGCATTGCTTGTGTTTTCAGCTTAGTATTTTATGGTCAGTTTGTTGTGTTCTCAAGAACTAATATTGCTAACTTCCCCAATTTGTTTGCGAATTTTTTGCTCACCTAAACACTGATTTAACGTACTTCGGTTTAACGTGTAATGTTAACTAAAAGATGATTGACGTGTATTTTCATGTCACACAACACTGACAAACACTTCAAAGAAAAAATGCACATGTTCACACATCACCTATCAATTAATGCTAATGTACTATTCGACACATTGTGCTAGTTTAAATTGATTATAATCGACAATCTTCAAGAAAATGGAAGTTGAGTTACCCGATTGCACCAAATTAAAGATGAGTCATCCGAATGCAACTTGAATGCAACTTAACCCTACCATATTAATCAATTCATGGTAACTCATTATTTATGAATTAATACCATTAAATACGATAAAAATAAATAAATAAATAAAATTTCAACATATTATAAATTCTCACTGCTAGTTTTAGTACCAAAAAGATTCATATTCACGCACTATATTTCACCCGAATACAGAAAACATGGGAAAATAATAACTCTCTTTAAAGTACCCACGGACTCGACAAAAGCCATCAAAGCAAATTTTGTTAGAATAATTATTCTTTACCATGGCCACATTGGCCCTGGTAATGGAGCAGGCTGAACATTTTGTTAAAAGTCAATTTGAAACAAAGAATGGATTACAAGTATTTACAGTTATCCGTAAACTTTGTAATATACAACACCAATTCACTAATTTTCCGTCTGTACTTGGTATGCAAAAGCAGCAACTCGTCCAAATTGGTTACGTCGCTACGTAAGATTTTGAAAAAGTCGTAAGTTCTTTCGCCATCCAGGTGATTCGAATCCATCCTCCCAACAACTTTCAAGTTGCTGGCACATAAAAGAACTCGCTTTGGTTGGCACTATATTGCTGTTCCAAAAACTCAATTTGATGGTCAGAGATAACCAAGAAATTACGAGCCAGCTATACTACCGGGGGCTGCTCAGTCGGAGTACGGCTGGAAGTCCATGCACAGATGTACTAATTTCCTTTGATACTGTCCGTAATATTCACCAACTGCAATAACATCTACATTCTCCGGGTTCAGCTCAGCTAAGTTAACTTCTTATTCTTTGTTGAAGAATCTGATTCTTCATCCAAATCCGGAGTAGAGAGAAATTCATCAAGGATTTCACTGCAAGCAAATATGAACATGGCTGCTGTGTCAGGCAGCTGTGCCTCTCGAAGTGCTGCCAGTGCCTCCTGCAGTCCACCGGCTGCAACGTACAAGATCAGAGCCCTGCATTGGACCATAGTTAAGGATACAATAAAATAGAGAAATATCTCCTCGCAAAATAAGAAATGAAACAAGTTGTACCTCCAAATGTTATGTTCAGCATGATGGACGTGTTCAGCCCACCTTTGCAACACCCTGTCCATAATTCATTTAAAATTAATCGATGTGACAGTTGACCAATATACAGATTTGGATGACTCAGATATGACATAAATGTTGTTTTTTAAACATTATTCAATGTCGTAGAATGCTCAGAAAGATATTTACTAAAACTCAGCCCTTGCAATCTATGCAAGTTCAATTCAATAATAGCAGATTCTGGTATTTGTTACTAGGTAGCAAAGCATAGAAAGGGTCACATGAAGAACCTTTCTTGGATAATTCATGCAATATGATCTAAATTGGCAGCTTATAATTATATAGCATCGTTGACAATCCGAGTGTCAGATAGATCATTTGAAAACTAATTTTAATGCCTATGTTATAATAAGTATTTGCTCAGAAAAGCACTGGGCCTATGTTTAAAGTCTTGCTACAGGAGATTTTAGGTGTATAAAGGCATCTTTTATCCAATAATATGTATGTAATAAAGAGTAAATCAATGCCTCTTGACAGATCAGAAATGTTTCATTGCACATATTTGTAGAATAAGACAAAACTGCAGCATCTCATGGCATGTATATTGGCTTGGCGTCAAAATCTATGACCTGAGGAAAACGGACCAAGCAACGAGATAATTGAGGGGCACATGGACAGCATTTTCATGCAACAAGTAGGACTTGTAAGCCCAAAAAGTGTGTGACCCACACTTAGTGAGCTTATAAGAGAGCCATTAAGTTGCTACCAAACATGCTCTCTATGAGCATGTTTAGCTAAGCGTAAAAGGTTACTTTTAAAATAATTGACCTTTCTAATTGATAAAAATTAGAAATAAATTCTTTATTTTGGCAATAAAATAAGAAAACTTTCATAATAATTAACTTTTGTGCTTAAAAATAAGAAAAAAGTAACTTATTCAAAGATGTTTGGAGACCAACTTTTACATAATTTGAAGCATAGCAAACATGCAAGCGTCTTTGGGCTAAGCTTATTAAAAGGAAAAGTTACTTCTTGTTTCTAAACACATTTGGATAATTTGCCCTTTCCGTACTTTTTAAGTAAAAATAGTTACTTGTTTTAAAAGTAGGTCTTACTTTACCGTCAAAAATAGCTAACATTTTTCCAACTTTGACCAATGAAAATATTATTTATTTTAAAAATTATTTACTTATAAGTGAACCTTTTAAGCTTAGCAAACATGCTCATCTAGGAGTTCGCTGATATGCTAGGAAAATCTCACCAAGTTTTAGTTGATTTGGAGTGCGTTTGAGTGGGCCATAACATTATGAAGTGGAGTCATCCAGTGCAGTAGCATAGTCAAACTTTCAAAATATTGAGGGGCACTATCCCTGACCAAGAACCAATGGGGCTAAAACATAGTAGTCATGATATTGAGGCCAGGGGATTCAACGGTTTGTTCCTTATTCAGAGTCTGCATGAGTGAGGTATGCATATTATTATTCATAAGCAAAAAGATGTATACTCTTTTCAATAATACTTCAAAACATTTTACTTATTTTGAATCTCCACCAAATCCTTGAATTTGGCATGTGGTTGCAAAATAGTACGCATGATGGCACCCTTCTTCACTCCTACAGTTAAGAATCCTCGATCGCTAATTATTTCCCCACCCTAACCCCATATAGACAACACTACTAACATTTATCTCTCTCTTAAAAGATTCTAGTGCATGTTCTTGATGATAAGTCATGCACATGTCATCAAGAAAACCTACTAAATTCAAGACATGTGGCAAGGTGGAGTGTGTAAATATTACTAGATACAAGACTGTTTTCTTGGACTTAGAACATACTCATATGTAGTATAACATAAAGCTAAATTTTTTCTAGCACTAGAAAACCGCCATGTTTAGGTAGTGTATTCTAGTGAAATTTTTGCCCTTTCTTGTACTAAAAATGCATCATCAAAATCCATATAAAAAACTTAAAAGTTATCATCATCTAACATCACAAAAATAAAGCATAAAACAACCCTAGTTTTTAGCCAAACCAAAAGAATTCCACGCATGCAATGCTTATAAGACTTTTTCTTGTACCAAAACTCAAGCAACATCCAAGTACTTTTTGTCAATAAGATTGAATAAGATTACGGAGGTCGTCGAAAATTGAATAAGAACCGGAGATCGTCGAAGATTACGATTATATTATAAATGAGAGAACCTCTCACAAAGAGACACATCGAGTCTTTTATTGAATATATTTGACACTTTTTTACCATAATTTATGCTACATAAAGTAGTGTTTTCTTGTGAAAGATAGTATCAAAATTCGTCCATTAAGACGCACATGTATGTGAAGTGCTTAGAAGTGTCCAAATGCATGCAATTTGATCTCAAGCCAAGTATTAAAGTCCATTAGCTAAAAGACAAAGTTTTAAGGGGTAATAAATCAGACTTTCTTGGTAAAATGTTGGTACAATTCGTTTCTTACAAGAAAAGTGCACGTGAACTTTGAAGAAACTTTATGCCAAATGTCATGAGGAAGAAAGTTACTACCACCTTATTTTTTTTCCCAAAATCTGATAATAAGCCTTTTGAAAAACTATTTCTCATCAATAAATTTTTTTTAAAACATTTCAAGATAGATTGTGTCGAAAGCTTTTTAACGATTTTTGAATCATCAAAAACAAATGCCATAGCTCTTAAAATCGCATTAAAACGAAAATCATGTGTTTGTTAATAAAATATTCAATACTCTATACAATCAATAAATACTAAACATTCCACTAATGTATATCCAATATAATAATTATTTCTTGGCATGCGTATAATGCTAAATGTGGCAAGGTTCTAATGCCTTAATTTTGGGCATTATCGACAGGGTCGGGTATTATCAACCTACAAACGGAGAAATTTTTTGTAACGGGTTACTTTGTATTTTGTAGGGCGTTAATATCATATTTTAAGGTGTTAGACCATTCATGAAAATTTACTTTGGGCGTCCCCACCTTGTTTTAGGGTAATACCACCTCCCTTTAACAAACACCATTACATGAGTTGGAGGTGTTACTATCATACCATGTGAATTTCATCATCGATGTCGCAATCTATGCAAAATCCTTCAAAAATCTACAATAATATCCAGCGAGTCCGGAAAAAATTCACTTCCGTAGGCGTCGTTGGACGTCACCATTCTAATATCTCTCTTCAATCTTACAAGGATCCACATTAATTCCGTCTTTCGTCACTATATGACCCAAAATGCCACTTTATCCACCCAAAGCTCGCTTTTTTTAAATTTAGAATATAACCTCTTTTCCCTCTAGTTCTCGGCCGCTCTCTCTCTTTCTATACATCCACAACTTTCATCTCATTTTACCATCTTAGTACTCATTTCCTCAAGTACAACCATGGTTAGAATTAAGATGTCGACCAACCGGGGCAAATCCAACAAATCCCCTCCTAAAGAAATCGGTAAGAGATCGGGTTCTAACAAAGAACACCATTCGGGGGCTGTCCAAAATAAGGAAGATTACTCACCACTAGACTTTGTTATTACCGTGTCTTTCATCAACTACATGTCTCTTTGAAAAGGAAATTATCTCGGCAAGGTTGTCGACCATTCCTTCCTCAAGTCAATACTATTTTCTCTCCTAGGCTAACTCTGAGTCTTTGGTTGGGCTAAATTTTTAAAACTAAGAGGTGCCTATTGCGAAGATCTAGTGCGGAAGTTCTGTGCCAATTTATGGTCTACTAGTCTTGAATACGAAAATTATCTCAGTTACTCGTCAGATAGGGTATGAAAATCTATCAACCGTTTTATTCAAGGAGATTGACCTTTCACTTACCATTTGAAAATTCATATTCCAATGTCCTGGTTTCATAGAAAAACCAAGGAAGTTCATAGAAATATTCTTTTAAGTGCAATGAAATTCCCCTCTTTTTGTGACTTATATATACTGGCAATTCACAAGAGAACAATTCAACATCCGTGGTCCACCATCCAACATAAAAAGAAAAAAACTGAACAAATTCTCCTAGAGGAAGTACAATAAAAAAGAGCAAAACTAAGTTGAATATAAATTACCTTAGCTGTCCCAAGACTGAATATGAGAAAACTGGACAAAACATGGAAGACAGCTAGAAAAAATATCAACAATTGGAGTTGCTGGATGCCCACTCTCGAAATCAAAGAAAACTTATCCTGTTCCACAATTTCAAAAATCAATAAGATGCAACTAAAATCTGAAACTTACAAGTTAATTAATTGCATCAATCAAACAACTACTCCATCCCACATATAAAGTACCTGTTCTTCACATTTGGATTCCTCCTTTATCTTCAACACCTGCCATCAGACCCTTGTCGAAGTCGTGTGGATTGGCCTCCTGGGTGGATATATACATACAGAAAACATCAATAAATCAAAGCAAGAAATCAACTTCCCTTTCAATAATGGAATTGGCACCAAAATGGATTGCACAAGGCTCAGATCAAACCCAAATCATAAGGTAACTCCAACATCGAACTATCCCAAAGAATCTCATGCCACAACCACGAAGGAATCACCCAAAACGAGGTCACACAAATAGGGTGCGAGACTGCCGAACAAGGTAGCGAAATATATGCGAAAAGGGACGAGAACAACTGGCAGCCGAAGGTCACAAAGGATCATCGATCTCGCGCTTGAACTCCCCCACCTCCGTCGTGCCGGTCGCCGCAATGGATACGTCGTCTACTATACAGATGAGAGAGATGGTATAAAGGAATTGGAAGAGATAAAAATAGATATATGAAGAAGATATTTAAATGAAGTCGGTTGTGAACAGTATCTGATCTGGTTTGAGTGTGAAAAGGACCGTACATAAAGGAACTGTGAACGCCCGTCCTCTCTTTTAAAGGAAGAGGGATATGGTACAGACGAGGGCTCTAGAAATATCAACCCTCTGCACCTAGAAACATGATCTAAGAAGAAAATGCTGGGGAATGGCAAATGGAAAGCAATTAAACACAAAATGCGAAGTCCTTTCACAAAGTTTGCAAATGAAGAATGGGCCTTAGCTATGTTTGTTTCCAGGAAAGTAAAGAGGAAAAAGGAAACAAGTTGTATGGTTGAACTAAAATTATGGGAGAAGATGGGAAAAAATATCAAATGGGGAAAATCTTGGTAAATGTGACTATACCTCAAAGGCATTTTGCTCGAAACACTGAGGCGATACCAAAAGCTAGGAAGAGAACTGAAAAATTTACCATTCGGGGAACAAATCCTGAAAATACAAAATTTCCCCTTTTTTATCTTTTCCCCGTTTACTCTTAAAAAAAGGGATTCATGTAGCCTACTCCATAATTGATGGGAATAAGGCTGAGATTATTGTTATCCACCATTTTTCTAATAAAATAATTTTAGGTAGAGTAGGGACAAAAATGCTCTACTATAAATTGCGTGATATGAAATTAAATATTAAAGATAATCAGATTACTATGCGCAATAATATTACAATTCACATTATACATTATTCCTTTTAGAAATTATAGAATCTTTCATATAACGTAAAAGAAGTTAGCCAGATAAAATCTAAGGAAGCCACTGAATTTACACAAGATTGATATATACAAGAACAAAATGGCGAGAAGTCCAATAATCTGGTAATTGATTCACATAAGAAGGTGAGAGGTGTAAAGTCAGACACTTGTTAGCAATTACTCAAATATTCAATTGACATGGGAAACTAATTATATTTTGAAATAAAAGATACAGAATCCTATAGTCTCCCATATCCAGGAGATAGAATTTCATGAATATGTGTGTGCGCATAAAGAATTTCATAGCTCCATATGGACCTATATGTCTAGGTATTTAATTAAAGAAAGTAAAGAGAACTGGATGTCCATTGGACACGATGAGTTGCAGTAATGGCTAGTGGAGAACACAGATATGTCCGGAATAAGTCCAATTTGAGTACAATGTTAATTATGGTACCGACAATAACAATAACAATTGAGTTAATCTCAATATCTCTTGGAAATTTGGAATAAGATCATGACAGATAAAGGTTACAGGATCATAATAACAACAATACAATCACAACTGTACAGAGATTCTGCCTATACTAATAGATTCCAATAGTCCAATTCCTATTTAAGATTCCAAGAACTACAAAAATATGATATCCAAAAAATTAAAATTTTAAATCGATGAACTCAATATCTAAAACATGATTCCCCAATTATTTTCCACATAAAAATTGAACCGCTATCTCTACCAATCTCTACTTGGCACGTTTTCCACTTCATAGCATATTATCTTTATTTTGTATTAATTTTACTTCTCTTTTACTATCTAGCTTACTTTCAAAGAAACAATATTGAATTTTCCTGGGGCAAAGGCTTTTTCCCAAAATCTTTCTAGGATAGAGACAAATAAGCTTCTATCCAATTTGTTTGCCAGAAAACAAATCTTATGGTACATCATTCAATTTTCTTCCATTCTAATTCATACGGTGCACTTGCATGACTAATATTAACTACAAAGTAAGTCATTTTTTAAAATTCGTGATTCTTTAGCAATCAAATAAAATGATCATATAATCTTCACATTTCTAAGTCTTAAGATTATGCTAATAAACAAAGTTGATAGAACCATAAATGACAAACAAGAATACCAAGAAGCATATATCCAAGTTCTTCATATTCTTATTCATTCATAATATAAAACAAGATATGAAAACTTGTTAAGTGCCACTAATATGAACAGTGACTTAACATATATCCATGCCTGACATCATTGGGATATGAGTCAAATAGAAACAAATAAGTAGCAAAAGCAGAAAAATAACTATTGTAATTTCTTCTTGAATCAAAAAACATGAGTAAATACATACCAGAAGCATTATTTTGCTGATGTAGAACAGGTAAGTAGTGTACAACAAACGAAATGAAAATTATGAGTAAGAATGCAATGAACTCACCAAGCTTTTGCCAGTTGTACATCTGATGAATCATATGTAACTTTCTGAATAAATAAAAAGTGATTTTTATGCTAGATGACTTTTTTGGTGTACTAAGTAAGATCGAAACCTTTACTAAACATCTCTTCCATCCATTTTCTAGCCTCTACAATCTGACTACGTTTGGCAAAACCATGCACTATTATATCATAAGTCTATCTATTTGGCTCATACCCTTTTTGATGTAATCTATCAAGGTACTGGCAAGCATAGTCCATTTCCTTCATGCTTAATCTTCTCAGAAGCATATTATAAGTGTAGGTGTCTAGAGGGAAGGATTGCTGAATCTATTTTTCCACATCCTCCATATCTTGGTTTACTCCAATACAGCCAGAAAAAACACCAACCAGCTGGCCCAATTTCCAACTGACAGGTGTTAGATTTTGCTTATGACTTAAACAAGCCCACGCATCATATAGTTTCCGAGTTCTCAAAGAATTCAACAGAAGTACATTGCCGATAAAGGAAGAAATAGGACGCCCAATTTGAGTCATATCATTGATAAGTTCTACAACCTTATAGTATTGTCTATGATGACAATACAACTTCACAAGTTCCTCAAAAGATTCCAGACTTGGTAACTTGTTCGCTTTCATAATTTCAAATATCTGTAATGCATGCTCTGGTTTGTTAACTTTGCAAAAACCAACAATCATCGTCTGCCACAGTTTTCTACGGTCTCTCCTCTTGTATGCTTCATGGAAGAAATTTAGAGCATCAGTAATTTTTTCGCTTTTCAGGTAGCTTTGCAACATTAGTATGTCAGAATTCAAGTCCGGTAAGAGACCACTTCTTGTCATCATTTCATATACTTGCCTAGCAAGCTCAAGGTTTCTGGCATGCCCAGCACCATCAATGAAGAAATTGTAAATACGTGAACTGGGCTGAAGCCGAGCCAGCTGCATCTCTAGCAATCTGAAAACTTGCTTCTCTGCATCATCCGTTTGACATAAACAGCAAATCACTTCTCCATACAATTTCCTTTTTGGGTGATAACCTTTTTCTTGCATTTCTATGAGTAATCTAGCAGCAATATCCCCTCTACTCAACTTGTTAAAACCATTGATCAGGGGAACATATGTACTCCTAGAAGCAACTTTATTCAATAGGTTAAGCTGGCCATGTACCAAGTAACCATCTTCAACTCACTTGGCCCTACAGAGAGCTGATATGAACTTGTCGTAAGTCAAGTCATTGGGCATGATATTCCGGTCTAATGCAACAAAAACCAACTCTTTCATCTTATCGAGCTTTCCTTCTCTGCAAAGAGCGTCAGAAATAATGGAGAAAGTCTTTTTTCCAGGGAAATAACCATGTTCTATTGAATTTCTCAACACACGATATGCTTCATCAATAGTACCATCCCCCACTAGAGTATTTATAAGATAATTATAAGCCATGCAACTCACTGAAAGGCCAAACTCTGCCCTCGAATCATATAAATCCATGGCAACATCCATCATTCCAGCCTTGCATAAGAAGCACAATGTTGTGTTCATTGTGACATCATCAGGCAATATTCCCCTCCCCTTCATCTCCATCAATAAATTGCACACCTTAATAAGCCTATTCTCCGTCAAAAGCCTACAAATCAATGAGTTACAACGAAAAAATCAGGAACATAACCCTCGACTGACTGTTTATCCTTCAAAAACTCCAATGCCCCATCCAACTTCCCAGCATTAACAAGGTCCCTAATCCACACGCTGTATGCATACTCCATTGAAACCAAATTCATTTTATGGAACTCCTCAATCAATAATGCAGCTTTCTCAAACTGATAATCCTTGCACACAGCATCCACAAAAATACCAACCGCAGCCCGCATCAGTCCCATCCCAATATCTCCCACCAATAATGCAGCTTTCTCAAACTGATTACCTTGCACAAAGCATCCACAAAAATACCAACCGCAGCCCGACTCAGTCCCATCCCATTATCTCCCACCATACCTCGTAGATAGTTTTCAGCCCTCTCTAACTCAGTCTGCTTACAGTAACTCTTCATCATAATCGAATTTGTTACCTCATTCTGAATTGCCTGGACTCTAATCCGCTTTGCCACCATTTCCACCACGTCAAAATAGCCCTCCTCGACTAGTGAATTCAACAGCACATGGTATGCAAATGTGTCCAAGTCCACGCCCTGGAACCTCATTCTACCGAACAGCTCCAGTGCAACCTCAGATTTGCCCGCGACAGCATACCCAATCACCAAAGTGTTGTAAAATC